TCAATATTGGTGTTGCCTAACAAAGCACCTCAGAGATGTATGGCTTTATATAACACTCAGTTGTTGCATCAGATTGAACGATCCCCTAGAAATTGACTTCGCCGAAACCATGGCCTGACTTTGACCTGCGATAGGTCAGCGACCTTGCAAGATACATCTAAATTTTCATGCCAAACGATTTGCTGTTTAATTGTCTACAGCCATGCAAAATTTGGTACGGCTACGCCGCGTCGTTCGGAAACTATTCTGGAAAAACCTTTGGGGGGCAATTTGACCCCCGCCCCCAACTGAGCGCGTGTTAACAATCTACCTCTCGCCAGTGTTGCGGTGTGAGGCATTCATGTATAATTAACCGCCGTCGTAGTGTTACAGAGCAGTGAGCCGAATTCTGGCTGTAAAAGTAAAAATACGTTCGTTATTCTGCATTCACATAATTTCGATGGTGACTTTTAGGAACATGTTCAGATTTTCTCCTCATTCCAGAGCATATCACTTAAGATAGTTTTTAGTGGGTCCATTCCTTACAGCACGCGGAAAGATCTGACAGAACAAGAGGAAAACGGTCAATTCGAGCGATTCATTCAAGGCACAGTTACTGACCAACTCTCCGGGCGCGCTTCAGTATGTCTCAACGTCACATGAACAGCAATGACATGGAGTGCGAACGTATCTCAAAAAGGGCACGTTTATGGCACAAGTACACCATTGAAGAGTGCCTCAATTTTTTGCCACAATAAGCAGTCTTAATGTACAGCCAGGGAATATCATGGAACTGATTTAGCGCATTTCGGTGAGATTATTCTAGTGAGACTTTGCAGACACAAAAAGCAAAGAGCGGCAAAAGGATTAGAAACACAAAGATGAACTGACATCATACCTAAGAACTTTTACAGGAGGTTTCACTGTATTGGCCCCGGGGCTTTCCACGCAATGCGGGAAACCATGATATATGTCCAATGTGGATGCCTGCCTTAGACCCGTGCACTGTCCTCCATCTTCGACTAGCTTTCTTTTGTAGAATGGGCATTTAATGCCCGAGACGCGACGACATTTCATACGTGATTTGACGAAATAGGCAATTTCGTCAATTTGGTTCCAAACTGACCAAATGTAGCTGGCGGACACGTGCTGATCCTTGGACTGAATGACGCCCGCTGATCCCAGATCCCCGGAGATCGGTAAAATTCACGGTGGGGGGAATTGTTGCAATTGCGCAGATCTGCCAGAAACTTGACGCAGACAGACAGCCGACCATTGGTCAGCAGCTGACCAATCACAGATCACTTCCGTCTCGAACCAGGACAGCAGCCGCCGCTGGCCGGCTCCAAGCAGCGCGTCGGTTTTCTGTCGTTAACTGCCAAAGGTCGAAAATTGTGATAACTCAGCAGCTCCGGTTGGCGACAGATTGTTCAAACGTCCAACGACCAATGCTGGACGACTTCGGCGAAGATGTAGGGTTAACGGATCAAGTTGAACGTTGGTCTCAAGCTGTTGTATTCGCATTTAACAATGGATCCGACTTATCCCAAACTGAGCATATATTTCTGCCTCCTTTTTGGAGAAACGTTTCAAAAAGCAAGGTACCATAACAAAAACGCAGCTCGTTTCATTCTGGTAGGCGCCACACCAGGGCATTTTAGACCTCTGCCTCTGTGCACGGATGGTCATTACCAGTCGGGAGTCATGCGGAGGCGAGAAACGGTTACCAGGCAACACACTGAAATGCTGCGCGGTGATTGGCGGTTGCAAGTGGATCCCACCATTGTATTTGCGGCGTGCGCGCGTGCTGGACGGTTGTAGTCATATGACGGCTGGATCAGGGTAGAAGTCAACGACTGAATGCACGCTGCTGAGACCACCGTGTTTTGTGTTTCTTCTTAGATGGGGAGGGGGTTAGACGGAAGGTGTCCTGTCTTCCTAACGATCAAAATAATTTATATTTCCACCAAATGGGGCCTTAAGGGGCGGGACTAAACTGAAAGCTAGTAGAGGAGACGAATTCCGAATGGGGTGCCAGTTATCTGAAAGCCAAGGCTGAAAGGCAAAAGGCATCCTTTTACTGTCTTACCGTATGACTTTGCTGGCCCTCCTATGGACACCCCAGAGCGCACGCTAAATGAATCCTGTGTTTTTGTCTCTTTTCCACCAAGCTGCCAAGTTGACCGCTAACAGAGTGCTCGGCATTGTCCATGACGAGGATATTTACAAGCATTTCCACTTGATTTAATTTCACTATTTGCACATTTTTACTGTATGTTTCCACACTTACACTGTATACTTCCACTAAATTTCACGTGTAATTATCATTCTTGCCTGCATGCTAGGAACGATCCACCTCAAGTATCAACTCAACAAACACTTCTTTCAGGACTTAGACAGTAACGAGGAAAATTGTACAAGTATTTACGCCTCATTCATTTCCACTATTTCCACACTTCCTCTGTATATTTCCACCTTTACACTGCATTAATCAAGCAATCTATACTGTCGTAAGCGCTTCTGCCTACATACTAGGTACGGTCCACCTCAATATCAACTTTACGAATGCTTCTTTCAGGATGAAAGTCCAGTTTCTGTACTAACGGCGTTGCTGCACACTTGCATGTTGCTGCATGTTGGGATGGTTTGCCACGAGAATTACATTAAACAAAACTTTCTTTCGCGTTTCTTGCCACTACAGGGTTTTAAGATCCTGGCGCCCAAACTTCACCTCCGCTCAAGCATGAAGGTACCACATCTCGGTAATTCCCATCAATACGATGCTGTAATATTTCATTATCTCATTATCATTTATCTTACAGCTCATCACGTAGCGATGAGGGTCAGTCACCTTCTGTAATTACCCTGCAATTATTTTACAATACGTGCGAATCATATGAATAAAAAGTGCCCCTTTAATGTCATTTGACAGGACAGGTGAAGCTTGGTGTGTGTCTTGCAACGCGGTCCCCGCCACCAACAGAACCAACGTTGCCTCCGTCAAGCCAGTTTCGCCGCGGAGTTAGCCCATGCGGCCGGGAGTCCGCGCCATAAGAGCCCGCCGGGGGCGGGGCGCGGGGGGAGGGCACAACGGCAGCGGCACAGCGTTAATGAATGGCCAACTCCGGCCGGCACAATGCCGCCGGCAGCTGAGCAAATGGCTCGTGCGGCCGGCGCCATCAGCGGCCGGCTGGCGGCGCCGCGCGCGCCGGAGTGATGCGCTGATGGAGTGGATGTCGGCCGGAGCTGAAGCCATCAGCGGCTGTCGTTTGGCGAGCTGCGGGCCGCCTGTTGACAGACGCGCCGGACGGCCGGCGGCGGGCGGGGCGGGGCGGGGCTCGAGGCGGCGCCGCTCGCTCGAATGCGTCGCCGGTCGTTCGTCGCTCGCGAGCCGCGCCCACCGGTTGCACGAGGATCATGGTTGAGCGGCGCTGATTAGAGGAGCCGCCGGCACCGACGGCCGGGCGACGCCGACCGCCCGACCGCTAACGCGCCGTTACACGCCCACGCCGCCAGACCGGTGGCGCTACAAGCTGCGGGAGGCGGCGACTCGGCGTGCGTTGGAGCTTGTTGTGAGGAGATGGAAATCAGTGTCCGCCGGGGCTGAAAATGATGCATTATGAAGCAAAACCTCCGAGCGGGCTACTCAGGACCGCTTCGTTACAGCGCTCGACTCTTGGCCTACATCGGTGACTACAGTACCTGACGCAGAGATAGTTTTGGGGTGCACAACGCTGTCCAATGTGTGAAAGCTTGATGTTATCAGGAGGTCATAATATGGGCCCCAGCTGCAGTTGCCCTTCCGTTTCCATGCAAAGAAAACTTAGATTTTTACTTGCTAGCTGACCCGCTATACCATCCATGAACACGTGATCAAGAGTGCCCACCCTTATCCACTGTGGTGCGTGGAACCGCATATTGACATCCGGACCGGGAACTGATTATGGTATACTGCATGGCTACATGCTATGTAACTATCTTTATGTACTAGCGTACAAGTCAAATGTTGCCAGGCCACCGCACTTAACGCTAAAATGTGAAATGTACTGAATAAACTAAAAAACATTGGCAACACAAAAAGGCGGTCAGTTCCCAGGTTAACTGCGCCGACACGCAAATGAACGGAAGTACGTGAAAGCTGCAAATAGTTTGTGCCCAGTATGGAGACTGCAACACCATTGACGAAGTTACCAAAGTCATTCCAGTGGCTCCAGAATGACCTTAAAAGGGATGTTTCACATTTTGGAGATATTGCAGCAAGCATCAGGTATGATAGAAGAAGCTCACTTATACCTCACTTTTTATACTTTCAAGTAGAAAGGCTGCTCTAGACAACACAATTTCTCTGTTGAGTGCACACGCTCCTCGATACGTGGTTGTTTGACTGCGCCATCGTACCTCGCATAACATTGACTGAGAGCCAATGGGCGGCCGTTATATCTGGAAGTTATGCTCACGAACGCCAGATATGCACCACTCGACAATTATATTTGTCTTGGCGTCAAGCGCCGCATGGCTTATGGAATGGCAGGAGTTGAATGACGTTATTATGACGTCATGAATGCTAACGTCAACTGGAAGTACTCTCTCTGAAAAAGTCGTCTCATCTTCGCTGGCGTGTAGCTTAGAAGCCAGAGGGGGTTAAGTCTTGAGAAGGACAGGGCTGTGAGCTGCACCGAATAATCTCAAGATGTCTGGTTCAGTTCAATACCCCGTGGAAATGTGAAACACTCTTCTTAAGTTTGGTTAAGATCAACTTTCGGGCCAGGAAATGTGCGCTGTTGAAATATTGAACGGCCGAGTTTCAGCGTGCTCGTGCGAGACACTTGATGTGAAAGCTTTAAGATTGCACTGTCCGGGGGTTACAAGTATTGAACACTTTGTCGAATTCAGATTATAATTTTGAGCTCAAGTTCGCGATAGCGACCGTTCGCTGCGGGGTATGCTTTCCGAAATATTGCACTACCCATTGTCTGGCGCTGGCAGCCGTCTCAGCACCGCGGTGGTTTTGCTGCCGACAGGTTCTCCAGCGACAACCCGTTCTACAGCAACATCGACAGCATGCCCGACATTCGGCCGCGCCGAAAGTCGATCCCCCTGGTGTCGGAGCTGGTGAGTCAGACCCGGCCGCTCCCCGGGGAGGGGACCCCAGACCCGGTACCTCCCTGCCGCCATCTCATTACCACGCCCCTGGGGCGGTGCTCAGGGGTATTGGTCGGCATGCCCCCGCCCCCCTCCTCTGAGCCTTGGGAGGAGGATGAGAGGGAGGGGGCGCTGGAGGCTAGCATGTTTGCTGCAGCCACACGTGAAACGTACTTGTTCAGCTTTTGTGTGGCGTCATTCACGGAGTTTAGACTTAAAGATAATTGCCAATTTGTTTAGGCATAAATGCAATTGTACACATACGTTACTAAATTATGCATGCCTGATTTCGACCAGAAAGCCTGAATTCAAAACCCTTTCTTCAAAATCTTATTTGCTTTTCACATACTTATTTTGCAAAATTATTCTGTCGGACTCTGTTACCCATCATCATAGTATAGTTTCTTCAATAAGGCTTTGTAAACTTGTTGGGTGATAACCTTGTGCTCAACGGCTGAATGTTCAGAGCAATCATACTTGGCTTCTGGCCTTCATGAGTTTCGAACACGCATACACAAGCACGCCTGACCCGTGAACGTATGGGCGTACTTGTGCACGTGTGTTTCAAGCCTATGAGGCTAAGAGCTGAGCATGTTCTACATCTGTGGGCCATTTGGAACGTTCAATCGTTAAGTATCAGGCCATCACTAATCAGATTTGAGTGTATCGCTATTATCTGCTCTCCCCTTATGATCGCAAGAGCTAGTTTGTTTTTATCTATATGCGGTCGTATTTGTAAGCGTATTCGTAATTGTAAGCAACGACCTGCGCCCATGACAAGAAATTTTGCATGGCTCTGAAAATATTATCTCTGCCGTTTTGACATCATTTCATGTAACATATTTATATTTAGAGACGTGTGCAATGTAAATGGATATTGGACATATGACCGATGACTTCTTTATGTGTGCATGTGTAAAAAACAGCTGTTTAAATTTACTTACTTGAATACTTGATACACATGCATCTGTAAGAATCATAGTGTGAGTGGTAACTCACTTCCAGTGCTCATCTGCCCCAATGGCTCTGTGTCAGCTGTCACTAAAACACACGCATGGCTCACCAAGTGCAACATGGCTACTCACCGTCTTACAACAGTAGAAGCAGTCTGAGTGTCCACCACAGCCCATTGACTGTATCTAGCTGTGTTCAGCCCCAGCCAGCATATGTCGCCTCTTCTTTCTGAGCTGGCCTAGCCGGGCGCGATTGTCCTGTGACGCTGTGCAAGCGCCGCTGTACCGCTCCATCGTGGACATACGACTGTCGATCTTGGCGCGTGACGTCATCGCCGCGGGTTACGGCGCCGGCCGCCCCGCGGCCCCTTCGTGTATACTGGCTACTGGTAGCAGCTCTGTAATCCACTTTATCTCGCTCCTTTTGCTACAGGTGCTCAAGGTATCAGCAGTCTCTTCTCTCTGGCATTTTTGTGCCTCACGCCGTGCACTCGCTGACGTCATCCGGTGCACGGTTCTGCTTCCGCGGCAGACCCGCTGTTCTTGTTTGCATGCCTGCATGACACGACTGGGCGTAGGAACGAGTCTGAGCAACGATCATGCACCTTAAGACGCTGCCTGCTAGTCTGGTTGGCATTGCATATGCCTTATGATTGATAGCTGTGCCCTACCGCGCCCCGGTCCTTCATTCCCTCGCCACACGGCCCCTCCGCGTCTGACGCCGGTGTGCGACGGTGCAGCATGCGATTGGTGACGCCGGCGGCTGCTTACCAGACCGGCAGCCTCAGCTCGGCACTCGTTGGACGACACACCAATCACATCACAGAACCCAGCGACGACACACCAATCACATCACAGAACCCAGCGACGACACACCAATCACATCACAGAACCCAGCGCCGCACGTGACGTGCTGATAGCGCGTGGCTGATTTTAAAGAGAGTTGAATGCACTTTCCAGACAACTGCGGAGGAGCACCAATGTGCTTGGCGTGTTTGTGTAGGTAATTCGGTAAATATCAAGCTCATTCCCGCCAGGAGCATGTAGATCCAGTTATTCGCCCACACACGGACCGGTTCATTGCGCGTCTTTTGAGCATAGCTTGGTCGTCCTGCTGTCTCGAATTGATGCTCCGATACGCAGCTAGGCGCTCCAAGACCACCTTAAACGCGGCTGTTAATGAAATCAACCAGTGGGATGGCTCGTCTACTTAATCGCTTTGTTTGTCCGCTCCCACATAAGGTGGGCACGCTGAAGACAGCGTTGAGCCAAACGCGGCGCAGAGCATCGTCTGCTGCCCATGGTTGTCTTGTATGTGCCTGACGTTACGCTGCTGGGCACATCTAAGGCTTTTATCATGATAGCACACAAGCACAGCTTCTCTTGATCGGCGCGCCCAGGCCTGGGTCATCGCTAGCAAACACGTATGTCCGTCGGTCGCGCAAGAAACGCAAAAGATGATGTCATGAACGCTTCAAGAAAAAAAAACATGGCAGCAGGCTGCCAAGGAGCGTTTTTGGGTTGACTTACTATCTGCTCAGGCCTATCACGATGTAACTGTTCCCGTCTTGTAGCGTTGATTGTTAAAGACTCCAGGCCGCGTGTGCGCCCTAGCGACCACATCGAATGACTACCTGGTAGTATTAACACGCGCAGTGGAGGGGCTGGAGAGGGAGGGGGGATAATCCCACCCCACCCCGTCCTGTTTTTTTTACGAATACCTCCGCAGTGAATGAGCAGATCTGTATATGTTTGTCTACCTGCAAATGAAATCCCAGCGCGTCGCTTAAAGCAAAGAAGGAGAAAATCAACCGGAAGACTGTAAAATAACTGGCTGACAAAGTCAGCTACTCCAGTCAACCAGCCAGCTAGCGTGCAGTAATGAAATGTTCCTGACAATACTGGCGACTTTTTATGTATACCTGCCCTAAGCTTTAATGTGGTGCTCATCTTGGGCTCCCAAGGTCAATGCAATCCGAGTTCATAATAGGTCAGTGCGATCAGTCGAGGTCAACATTGCGATTTTCATAAGTACGAAGACTGATTTGTGAATCGTGTCACTTTGCTAAGTTTTTTCCAGACTTATCGATAACTCGTGGCTTTTGCTGTTATGAAGCGCAGCGTTGTTATATCCAATTCATTACTGCCAACGCACTTCAGCTCTTTCTTAAGAAATTCGATTGCACCCAGCTACCCGCCCACCCACCCGCCCAGCCGGTCAGCCAATCGGAAACATTGGCATGTTTTACATCATTTAACCCTGGACATATCGGCATAGGGTCATGATTGCTCCTACAAAACGTAGTTCCCTGAAGTATTCACCCACCCCGGGAGTGTCATTACTCTACCTCGCACGGTCCTCGAGATGGTTTGCCGGGGGGGGGGGGGGGGCAGATCGGCCCCTGCCTCCACTGCGCGTAATTTTCAGAGGCCCCCCACCGCGCGTTTGAACGGCCTTGGGCGCGCCTATCAAAAAGTGTGTGACGTCGCGCTGGTCGGCGGCCGTCGCCCGCCATCCCACCCTGTGCCGGCCCGCCGAAGCTCTGTCTCGGAGCCGCGCGGCCAGGCCGCGAGAAGTGTGGGACGCGCGAGATACCGTCACGCCATACACTTGGCAAAACTGGACTGAGTTCACTTGAACCTTACCAAACCGGTCTTAGCTTTTTGGCGTACATGACGAACTCCCTTCACCCTGCTGGATTTCGATCTTGTTTTCACCTTCACCTGCTTTGCGCTTGAATTATTGCCTGCTCGTATGATACACTGTTGGCCAGGGCACTCGATTCTTGATGCTTTTTCGCTTTTTGTCTGTCGACAAATCCACTAAATAGTTCTGAATCGGTTATGCAAGTGGTCCGGTCGGGGAATGGGGTACGAACGCAACGTATCGGACACACAACATGTCCGATGGTAGTGGTCTGACTTTGCACCTTGGCATTTGTAGAACTATACGGATTTGAGATTGTGTGCACGTTCCGTGATCTAGATACGGTTTCGCCCTCTTAAGTGTTTTAAGCACCAGTTTAGAGTGCTCAGTGACTCGGCGATAGACCTCTTGAAAGCTAGCCAAGCGGTTTTTAAAGCCGCGTGTTGCTTATTCACTTTTGCTCCGAATAGAAATTGTTCTGTATTTCGTCTGTCGGTAAATATATATTTTACCAAAAAGGGTACAACAACAGATGGCAACATTTCGCGATCGTACCGCTAGGTCAGAATTCTTCCACTCTCTGTGAGACGTCCTTCTTTCAAACTCGCATACCTTCGACGTTTGGTACCCACATTTCAAAACTATCCCCGCTTGTTCAGCGACACATGCGCAACGAGACCCGTGCGACTCATTTCAGACTATGGCGGCGACCAAGAGGAACGCAGGGCTCACATCGGCGCTTCCGAGGCCGTCCCTCAACGACGAGGAGCTGGTACGTGGCCGAGCGGCAGCAGAGGCGGTCGATCTGGCGCGTGTGCTCCACCCGTCACGCCCTTGTGCTTTGGCTGTAAAGGTGCCTGCCCCACACGACGGTGGCCATCCGCGGCGGCGCCCACGCTGTCCCCTGTTATCGACGTGCGCTTGCTTCCCGCTCACCCACGCTCTGCCCTCTCTCTCTCTCTCACTCACACGTGTCCGGACGCTCGTCCCCAGCAAGAGGAGGCCAGCAAGGTATTCGGTTTCCACATCTGCCGCTGCTCCTCACGCTTGGCGCTGTCCCCGGCGTAGTGTGCCGCAGTCGGTCGTGCTGCCCGCTGCCGGCTCCGCTCGACAGCACGACCGTGGCAGCGCGCCGCGTCTGACGCTGGCTTGGCCTCGGAGCCCGGGCGCCGCTGCTCCCGCTCCCGGGCGTCCTACGGGGACGGCAGGCCCCACCCTTGCTTACCCCGCTGTACGATCGGCCAGCACGCACGCTCACTCGGGCGCCGCAAGCTCACAGCTTTGCACCCGATTCTTGATGCATTTTCAGCTGACTGCTCTCCCAGCACTGGCTTGGATTATGCGAGGTGAATTAGCGGGATCAGTGCACAGAGGGCTGCATCTATAGAGCTGGATCGACGCTGCATTGCTGCTCGAAAAGCCATTTCGTCCTTGACACACATCAATAGCAAGCGTGTCGATTGCCTAAACGTTTGTCATCGCGCGCTGCATCGTGGGCCCCGTCCAGGGACCGACCAGGCCAAGTAGGTTACAGGAGCGTGACTTGGCGCTGCCGAATCCTGCGCGTTCGCTGCCCGACGGAATTGAGTTTCTGCCTCGTTTCGGCAATCAGCAGTAGGAGCGATGGCTGCCAGACGGCGTAGGGCCACCCGGAACCACGGCTTTTCGGCCACCTCTCAGAACGCCTCAGGCGCTTCTTACCTAATTCGGCAATTTCGCCTTAATATTGTGGTTCAAAGTTACTGACGATGATTGCGCCAGGATTAAAATGCGTTCACTCCGCTCGCCAGTGGCGCCAAACTGCCTTAAGCAGTTTGCTGCATGCTATGAATTTTTGCCAATAACGATATCAGAAATCTGCCGGAGTAATATTGGCTGAGTCTGCCAAAATTCGGTGCTGCCGATGTACCTCACCGCTGCACCTTTACTCCCAAAGCCAATCTTGCGTCAATCGGCTTAGCAGAGCTGCCCGAATGCAACAGCTAGATGTTGTTTTCCGTTCTGTCGCCGCTGTGCGGCTCTGCTTGAATTATGACGGACTTCCAGCAAAACTGAAGGCGAGCGGTCCGTCCGAGATCAGCTTGGCCCGTTTGTCTGGATTAGCGGCAGCGCCGGCCGTCGTCTGCGACACCACGCTGCGTCCTTGCTGACGGATGATGTGGGCATGTCTTCAACCGTAGAGAGTGGGCTCACCAGAGGCGACGGTGAAGCTCTAGTCTTGATAAATCAGGAAACGGCCGTAACGCTGGGCATGCTGTTCGCTCCAAGCAACGTTTGGGGCATAGATGCGGCTCGTTTTGCTTCATCCCGGACTCTCGTTCTGGCAATGCTTTGCCTTCCTCTGACTGTCTCAGTCGCTGCGCTAGCGGATTAGCTCATCAACAACTCGATCTTTCTCACCGCCGCATGATTCCATTGCCTGCTTTGTAGCAGGGCCTTGATAACCAGTGCTAGCTGCAGTGGCTCGTTACCAGTGCTAGCCGGGTTTTTTAGGGCCGTTGTTAGCCGCGGTCTTGGTGGCCTGTGGTAGCCGGGGTTTTCGTTAACCGTGGTTTAGCTGGATCTCGATGACCTTTGGTAGCTGAGAAGGGTAAATGTGCGGCAGCTGTGGCATCGTTGACCTGCGTAGCTGGTGAGGAGACGGCTGCGCCACCTGGGGTGACGGTGATCTGCAGCAGCCAGGATTTGACAACCTGCGTCGTTAGCGTTGTCTCGGTGGTATGCGCTAGTCACGGCATCGGTGCTCCGTAGGGGCGGGTCCCGAACCCGATAGCACAGGTCTGACCTTTCGTGACCTGCGTGAGCCGGTACATCTCAGTGGCCGGCGGCCGTCCGACGGCGAAGCGCGAGAGAAGAGGAGGGGTATCCCTGGGGCCGCTGCTCGGGGTGGGCTCTTGTCTTATTGGGTAGTCTCCGGACCGCGGCCAATCGGTCTTCCCAGCGCTCCGTGCAGCTCGATGGCTGTGCAGCGCCGCGGTCTAACGAGGGCAGAGGAAACGCCTCATCGGCAGGAGCGCGACTAACGGCGCCTGCGGCGCGCAACACGCCCCTCTCGACCGCTGACACACGCCCCTCTGCCCCAACCGATAGAAGATGCACGTGTACAAGAAGACACTGCAGGCGCTCATCTACCCGATCAGCAGCACGACACCGCACAACTTCGTGCCCTGGACGGCCACGTCGCCCACCTACTGCTACGAGTGCGAGGGCCTGCTGTGGGGCATCGCGCGCCAGGGTGTGCGCTGCACTGAGTGCGGCGTCAAGTGCCACGAGAAGTGCAAGGACCTGCTGAACGCCGACTGCCTTCAGCGTGAGTACGAGGGTGGCGGCGGTGGCCTGCAGCTCGTTTGATACTGACGCTCTTTTTCACTGACGTCGTTGAACTCTTCGTGCACCTGAGCGCTGCTGTTTTGTGCCAACAACGCAAGAGATGCCCTCCGGCCTTCGTTATCGTCGCACGACACGCCATGTGATGAGCGAGGAAGGTGGTGACTGGCGCAGGACTTCGGATCGCGGTCGTGCGGAGGACTATTGTCCGAGTGAACTCGGTCCGTACGTCGATGCCTGGGTGTCTTGAGTAGCGTGTGTTCACGCGATGAGTGGTGAGGGTGTGCTCTCGTGATAGTGATGCGGGTGTGCTCTCGTGATGGGTGATGCGGGTGTGGCCTCGTGATGGTGATGCGGGTGTGCTCTCGTGATGGGTGATGCGGGTGTGCTCTCGTGATGGGTGATGCGGGTGTGCTCTCGTGATGGTGATGCGGGTGTGCTCTCGTGATGGTGATGCGGATGTGCTCTCGCGATGGTGATGCGGATGTGCTCTCGTGATGGGTGATGCGGATGTGCTCTCGTGATGGGTGATGCGGGTGTGCTCTCGTGATGGGTGATGCGGACCGCTGCTGGCAGGCGCGGCTGAGAAAAGCTCCAAGCACGGTGCTGATGACAAGGCCAATAACATAATCACGGCGATGAAGGACCGCATGAAGATTCGCGAACGAAACAAAGCCGGAGATTTTCGAACTGATCAGGTATGTCGTCAGGAGAGACTATCAAACTTCCAGCTCTAGCTCTTCCAGGAACATTAGGCGCCGACCTCCGCGACGCGTTGTGTCGTGTCGGTCAGCTTGGACGTAATATTGCGATAGCTTTTTGTAACGTCTGTGGTACATGCGTATCTTTTTCAGTGTGAATAATGGCTTGCTCCTTTCCATTATACCTGCCGAATACTGTCTGGCAATGCTGTTCGCCTACGTTATTCGTGGGTTACCGCAAGCATTGAACGTGCGAGTTTCCGACGTTACGTAACAGGCTGTAATCGATTGGAATCAAATTCATAATTGATTTATGATTCCGCCAACATCCTTTTGAATTTTCCCAACCTTGTTTTTAGACGCTCCGGCTCCACTTGTCACAACGTTTTCCACCACTGAATCGTCGCGCATCGTTTCAGTTTTATCTATGCTTGTTTTGTTGAACGTAAAAGTCAAATGCCGAATTGGGCCATGTTGTACTTGATTTAGAGTCAAAATAGAAACCATTTTAGAATGGTATCGGCATAATGAAGTGAACCTGAGTCCCATCTGGAACACCTATTTCGATCCCAATCATTTATCTACGGAGAATTCACCTGACCCATTCTGAGTCCCATCGAACGCAAGTGGGATTGGTCCCATCACCCGTGGGTTCGAGATGAGATCATCTGTTGGTGTCCAGGGCTGGCCCGTCGTCTGCAGAGGCTGCTCCACCGGCGACCTACGCTGCCAGCCCTCGCGGTTCGGCGGTTTTCAGTCATCCAGCGGGGCTGTCTGATAGTAGACTAGGCAATCCATTGCCGACTGCCCAGCTCCGTGCACGCCCATTCAGCCGTGCCAGCGATGACGAGTGGTTCCCGTCATTGGTGCATCACGGGACAGTTTGTTCGGTGCGGTTTCAGGCGGCCCAGATCGTCAGGCAGAGGCAACTGTGTGGGTGTTGAGACAACGTGGGGCCCTTGGGTTGTTTGAACTAAGGCCACTGCCATTTTGTTCGAAGGCACACTGCATGCATGAGTCCACTGCATGAGTCCAGATTTTGGGTCAGTCTTAAATGAGACATTTAAGTGCCAAACTGTCCTGAGTTCCCACATTCCGGCTGCCCAGTCCAACTAGATTACGGACAGCTAGCCACTCTTTGTTTCGAGTTATTTGATGCTGGCGCGGCACGTTTCATTGGGCGCGTGTCCCAGCAGATGGTAACGCAATCAACACTTAACAATGCAGCACTAGCTTTCGAGAAAGCTGCCCTGTTCTCTGGACCAATGCCAGTGCCGCGTAGAATCGGTGCGGACTGGGCCTCCACGATCTCTCCACGTCAGCCAGCAGCTACCTCGGCATGTGGTCAGGCCACCCCTGCATCCACCTCCAGCATGGTCTGCCAGCGAGCTCGCGTTGTGGGCAAGGAGCGCCACAGCGGCGTCCACGATCGTGACAAAATCAGCGGCTGTCAGAGCGTCACAGTGTGAGCCAGGCCCCGCGGCGGGCGGGCCAGCTGAGCCGTGACGGACGTGCCAGGCAGACCCGGCGACAGCGCCGGCGCTGGCCGAACGAGGTCCGCCGCCCCCGATCGACCACACTGGCGTCAGACGGCGTGTCGATCCACGTGTTTGCTCACGCGCTGGTCGGTCCGGCGCGTCCAGGCTAGCCAGAGCTGCAGCACACAGCCGCTAGGAAGCAGCCTTTCCGCCGCACTCAAGCCTCCTCGCGCGGCGGTAATGAATCCCGAGAACGCATGGTCACGGCCAGCAGTGATGACGGTGGTCACTGGTGGTGATCAGGGAGAGCGGTCACTGGCCGCGGTCAGGGATGGTGGTCACTGGTGGTGGTCGCCGATGGTGGTCATTTGCGGTGTTCACTGGCGATGATCACCGGTGAAGGCCAGTAGCTGCGGTTACCGACGGCAGTCACAGTGATCAGTCATGGTGATCACTGGTGCTGGCCATAGGTGGCGGGCACCGATGGTGTTCACTGGTGGTCACTGGAAATGACCACACGCAGTGATCGCCGTTGGTCATCGCTGACAAGCTACCGGTGACAGCGGCCAGTGACGGTCGCTGTGGAGTTCACTGATCGGGTCAGCACATCCTTCAATCACTGGTGGCCTTCACGCAGGCCAATTAGTTGGCTGTGTGGATCATTTGTGGGTGCATGCATTTTGTCTCACATCTTTTCATGTTGGGGCTATTACGGGTTCGCGTCACCATGAATAAGCCGCTTCGTCAATTAAGATTACTAGCTAAGGCACATGAGATTTCATGGCGTAATACGCTACAAAAAGCAAACACCACAGGAGGCACAAGTCATGAAGCCTGCGCTACACTGCTGCTTTCCCTTGACGGCTCGTAAAAGTTGACAAGCACGTGCATCTGATGTTCTAGCGCGTGCAGTTTATATGCGAGCCTATGCGACGATCAGCCAGAGCCGATCATTGGTGACAGTCACTGGTGGGAGTCAGTGGTGGCATACGATGGAGCTGGTCACTGCCTGGGCACACTGAAGACGGTCAGTATGTCCGGGCCGCATCTCCTGCAGCCATTAGCCTTTATCGCCCATGTCACAGTCTAGTGGAGGATCCGTCTGTGTCGTGAGACAATCCGGATGGGTTTGTTGCATCTGAGTTCGAGAGTAGAGCTGCCTTCCAACTGCATCACTGCTCAATAGTCGGCTACAGGCAATAGCGAATGATCGTTGACTGTTTGGTGCGTCGCGGTTCGCTTGAGGAGGTTGACACGACTGAAAACGGTTCTGGGCCAAATCTGTAGAGCATTGGGGAATGCTCTTCTGGTTCGCTTAGTGTTTTCCTTTTGCTAAGAGCTTTCTCTTTATGCAGTGCTAATTCTGCTTAAGTCTTCTGATTAGGATAATGGTTGTGAAGTTTTCGCCTTAACCTTGGCTGTCTGGGAGCCAAAGGTGTGGAAGTGGTGTATTTATCATGGCAGCGTCTTAGTTCGATATGTTACGACCAAAACCAGCGCAAAGTTAGAAATTTCAGCGGCTGCGGATTTTTTTGCTCGTTCTGGAAAAACCCGAATTAGAAAAGTTCTTGGTAGGCCCAATCCTTTTAACACAGCTCGGCATTTGCGCTGTGGTAGATTGATGATGTGTCTGATAATGCGGCTCCTTGCACTTATCCTGAAAACACCACTTTATTGAAATGGGTTAGAAGGCACATGCATCGTCACACGAAACAGTCCTTTGCTGAGTCGGAGAATACTCCTATATCGTTACGAACAGCCTCTTGCTGTTCAGCATGCGTCACCCACAAGATGACAGCCGGAAAATGGCCATATTATACCCGTCTGTGTTGTGTTTTGCCGCTGGTGAGACAGCGCGAGCGACTGGATCAATACACGTGCCGAAATCGCCCGGGGCGCTCGCCGTCGGGTGGCCGGCTTTCTTGGTCTGGCGCCGTCTCGACGCTGTTTCGAACTGAGGATGCCGCGGACGTGCCGGTCGACAGCGCTGATAACGCCGTCCGACCGCGTCGACAACGCTGTCGTGCAGCGATGATAACGCTGCCACGCAGCGCTGATGAAGCCGGCATACAGCTGTGATAATTCTCTCCATCCAAACAGCGTTGATAACACCGTCGTACAGCGCTGATGACGCCGTCGTACAGCGATGATAACGCCGTCCGATAGCGGGAGTGAAGCCGGCATACAGCTTTGATAACGCCGTCGGACGGCGTTGATAGGTCCGTTTGGCAGGCTGTGCGATGCCGTCCGCCGCCGTCCGATGATGCTGGCAACTCCGTTCAGCAGAGCTGATGACGCCATCCGACGAGATGGATAACGTTATTCGACAACATCACCAACTCCGCCCGACAGCATTGATAACCCAGTTTCACGTCACTGACAACGGCCGGCTGCACCGGACATCTTCGGACACTTCACCAGGCCCTTCCGTCCAACGCGGGGCGATGCCACGCGTAAACAAAGCTGAAGGATGATGAAGGCCTGCACCAAACGGTCCTACTCACAACGCTACCTATCAATGTTCGCAAGCAAGGTGGCATATCCAAACATCGTTTGAACCTCGTAATGTCATCCCTCTGTCAGCCCTCCATGTCCGTTCCGCGTGTATGCTGACTGGCTGCATCTAAGTGACCGTTGCGGTGGTAGCGCTGTCCGGCATCATTAAACATTGCAGCACAGCTAGATAGCACTGTCTGAAAGCATCAACAAGGATGTCCGGCAGCAACTCTAACACCATTCAACGGAGATGATTGGGATCAGTGCTATTAATCAACCATGTGCGATCATTAGCGTTCGCAATGAGCGGCCACAAGATCTCTCCACGTTCCCCGTCTCCCTTCTCTCTCTCTCTCTCTCTCTCTCTCTCTCTCTCTCTCTCTCTCTCTCTCTCTCTCTCTCTCTCTCTCTCTCTCTCTCTCTCTCTCTCTCTCTCTCTCTCTCTCTCTCTCTCTCTCTCTCTCCTCTCTCCTCTCCTCTCTCTCTCTCTCTCTCTCTCTCTCTCTCTCTCTCTCTCTCTCTCTCTCTCTCTCTCTCTCTCTTCTCTCTCTCTCTCTCTCTCCTCTCTTCTCTCTCTCTCTCTCTCTCTCTCTCTCTCTCTCTCTCTCCCTCTTCTCTCTCTCTCTCTTTCTCTCTCACTCTTCCTTCCATCGCCCTCCCTCTCCCCTCCCTCCCTTTCACTACTCTCCCCTCCAACTCCCCCCTCTATCTCTCCCTCCAGCCACTCCCCCTGCCCACCTCTGCCCGTCCCTCCCTCTCTCCGCTGTGCCGGTGATCAGCCGCAGCATCACCACACGCTCGTCTCGAACAGCGGCCCGCGTCGGTCATCAGTTTGGTAATCGGAGCTCGGCGCCCGTCTCCACTCGGTGACGCGCTTGCCGACTATGCTCCGACTGAGGCGAGAACGGCGAGCGACTCCGCCGGAGTCCGGAGGATGCCGCAGGCTCGGCCGGCTCTCGCAGTGCACGTCGCCGTGATTGGGAGTGGACCACGTGCCCCAGTGCCGCACTGTGCTATCAGCAATGCGTCTTTTACTCAGTGTTCGAAAGTCACTGCTCCAGCGCGACAGGGTCCTGCGCACGCGTCTAAATGTCCGCTTAGTGGGCGACCTGGCCGTACAAACGGTGTCTGCCAGTTTTCCCCCTGTCCATCCGGCTTTTTTAAACAGATGGAAACTGGCTACGCGTGTAGCTTACTTTGTTCTCTTTTTTTAATATTTCGTCTACTTCTCGCTTGGGATTCCCACGAGCCCCAAGCACTCCCTTTTAGAGGGAGTGTGTGTTTTCGGCTTTTCAAAAAGGCATCCCGCATGTATTTTGATCAAGCCAATGATATTGGGAGAAATTGCTATGTAAGGAGTCTAGCAATGATGATACATCTAATTTTTCCATCCACGGCGTCTATATCTTTAAGCACTATACGGGTGCGAACACAGTTTTTCAGAAGGATTACACCAATGGGCGGGACGGTTACGACCAGTGCGTGTGACAACTAATGGCGCGCACGAGACAAACAAAAACTCCGTGGAAAATAATTCTTCCATGACTTTTTTACCACAGGCCATTGCCAAAACTGAAAACTTGAACTGAATGTGTGATCTGTATAATAAATTCACCCCGTTCCAAAAAGTGTGATGTCAAAGTGTGCTACTTGGTGATCGCTGTTTAGGATTATTTTTATCACATTTTCACAACAGAAATACATCAATCATTCAAGGCTGTCCCTCAAGCAATAATTTTGAGACACAAAACATTAATAATCAATATTAAAACACTTTCTAGCATAGCATTATAAGCTGGCACCAACGACAACAACGTGCATGACGTGAAATGGGGATGTTTCCAGCGTTAGAAATACAGCTTCCTACACCAGAACGCAGAGAGGGATGTTAGCATACAGTAGTTATCAACGATCGGTATATTGCTTTGACTGATATAAAACTTTTGGTCTCAGGTCTGTGTTAAACATTCAGTCTATCCCAAGAAGTGTGGCTTCCGCATACCATACATGTTAATCTACATTTGAGAAACATCTAGAAAGGAATTACAAGGATAAAATGCATTTGAGAAACATTTGAAACCTACATTTAGAAAAAGGTGCGTTTGGCCACGATAGAATTGTTCAACGAATAGTTATCCATCTGGTAATCATCTGCGTAAATTTTCATCCACATTCGGCATGTCCTGAAATTATGAGCCAGTTTCGTTGTGGGTGCGCCATGCACAGCCCATGGTCATAGCGATACTTGGCAAAAAATATCCTCCGTTTTAATCAAGCTCTAAAAGTTATCCAGGATTTGCCCTTGGCCTGGAAATGACCTGTGACCATTTTCCGCGTTCACAGCATTAAATGTCATTCCCAAAAATATTATAGATAATTCTCCAAGATTAGCTGCCGGCCGAACCCAGCGCGCACTTCAGACTCGATGCAAACAAATGTGTTTCGGACGGAATAACTTTTCGGACTTTTGCCCTGATCTGGCGTGTTAGACTCTACTTACACGCCAGACGAGGACAACGGTCGGAAAAATTGCTCCATCCGTGATACTAATATCTGCTCTTAACCCTTCCGTAAGACCATGAATAAATACGTTCTGCCCAGTGGTCGTGTCCGCAGCCGTGGTATTCGAAATTTTCTGCCAGTGCTAACGAGCTATCTTATTGGAAAATAATTCGCTCACCCTGACGATACGTTCGCGATATGGGCGGAGGTTTAGTGGCGAAAGACCTGAGGGAATCACCCGATAACCTTGTGCTTGACACAAAAATTTGAGGCACTTGAAATGGCTGGTCAATGGAAGCGAATTCCTAGAAACAAAAGATATCTAACGATAATCGATATCAGAGATAAGATATATAACGATAATAGATGTAAATCAAAATATCCTTCATGCACGATGAAAGTCTTAATGCGACTAGATACACTTCTTCCCCCCTTTCCTATAATTATTGCTCCCCCTAATGCAAGTACTTTAATGTTGTCACGAACGTTTGGCACCTCCGTTAGCATTGACCTACAACAGGCCTCACTCCTCTTTCCCAGTTCTGCTGCTTCCGCACGCTTGCTGTCGCCGCGCCGTACATGATGTCGGGTCCGCAAGACATTATCTCTGGACAATAAATGATCAATGCCGAGCATCCATTTCTGACAACAAAAAGTTCGATCACGTGCCATCTGTGTGGGAGAGCCTGTACTGCCGTACACATCAGGGCATGGTGGCCTCCGGGCCCTCGCGCTGTTCCACGCGGTATTCGGCACAGGACAGCCCGCGGCTCCAGCCTCGTCGATTTTACTCAATTGCAAAGGACAGCATTACAGAAGGATAGTGTGATGACCCATCATAAGCAGGACTTGACGTCCAGGTTGTCCTCAGTCCTCCGCGCATCCTCGGCATGTTTTTTCACTTGGGCCAGGAGTAATAGCCTCATCGATTTCGGTCACGCATTTATGAATGGTCCCACTATGCCAATCAATTAATCACAAACAAATACGCGGGTGTGTGTGCGCGAGCGTGTGTGTGCATCGCGATTCATTCTCGCATGGCGTGAACTAACTGACGATATTTCAGGCAGAGGCGTAAGAATCCGCACGCACATGTATGCACAGGTATTGGCACCGCTCTGACCGCTGTGACCTGCAGGGCCGTATTTCGTGTAGAGGAGAAGTCGCACGTGGGCCACATGAAGGCCGTCAAGCAGGCCGTTCAGGACGGCACCAGTAAATGGTCGGCCAAAATTGCCATCACAGGTTCGTGTCCAGCCGTCACGCCTGACGCTGGGACCGCCAGGGGGCGCCGCCGCCGGCTCGGCGTCGGTACCGCCGCCCCTCCGACAGGGCGACTCGCCCGTGGCGTCATCACGCTGCGGGCGCGCCTGATGACGTCACGGGATGTGCCCGCCGCCCCGGCGCCGTCCGCACCGGTGCCGGTCAGTCTCACCGGGACGCCGCGACGCCCCTAACCACAATGTTGACGGCTCGGCAAGCCGCTGATCGGCGCCTCCGGAGAGGGCACGGGGTGCGGCGTCGGGGCGGCGGACCTCAACGTGGTGTGTGTTGGTGGTCGTGGTGTTGATGTGCTGTTTGATGTTGTCTTTCCACAGAACTACGCTTAAAGTGGATCCCGACACTCATATTGATTCCCTAGAAAAAGCCAAGGAATCTGTTCTCGAAGGGACCTCAAAGTGGTCTTGCAAAATCGCCGTCACCGGTACGCCTTGGTAGCACGATGCTATCGCAGCACTGGGGCTTAGACTGCCAGTCACTTGTCAGAGCATGCCAGTCCTTCACGTTATCGTCTTTTTGCTAGCTGAAATGCTGCCGACCTCGTCTCGGCGCTGCCCAGAGGTGAAGGTGATCCCTTTCAAGCTCTGCACCAGTTTAACACCATACGATTCCTGGAATCGTGCCGAAGCGACCTTGCAATCAGTTGGATTCTGCACTGCCTTGCGTCCTTTTACCCCACATTTGATTGTACCCATCTCACCATGGGATTGCTGCTGGCATGCCTCCTCACTGTGCTCGAAAATTTCCCGAGAAGTAATGGCAGTTTTGGAAAGCTCGTCCTTTGGTTACACCTTCCAGTAAATAAAACTGAGATTTCTACAGAATGCGGTTATTTTTTCACGTTAACCCTTTAGTCAAACCGATAAGTCTGAAACTCAATTGCCTTACGCTTACATACTACATACAGCTTTTGTACAATGCTAAGTTGTAAGCAGCTACAGTGCAGTGTTTTCTATGAACGACTGCTCCGTTCATGACTTGGAAGTTACCTGAGGGCTAATGAAGCCGCATATTCAAGTCCAAAAGCAGAAAAACACCCTCGAGTGCAGATATGCAAAAAAAAACACCCTCGAGTGCAAATTTTGCTTTGCAACTCCGTGTGAAGCTAAAACGACGTGCCATGATCACGCCAACGAGCACGTTGCTTTGAAGGCTTTGCAGCACATTTCCATCACCCTCAGTTGTGTTGACCCGAGCGTCCCGGATCCTCCAGTCGGTACTCTGCCGGCCCTCTCAGCCGCCTCTGCCAGTTAGCATGACCGGGATGCTCCCTGGGCGGTCACGTGGTTTGCAGTTTCGCAACCGACATTGCTTGGGGAGATGCATGAGAGCCTGCGCCCGGTGTGGGGAGCTGAGAGCGCGCCGAGCCTGGGAGGGAGCCGGGTGCAGGTCCCTGGTGCTGTCGCCTGTTGTCCGGTCCCGACCGGGCTCTCTCTGACACGTCAAAGTCACTCCGCCGGCGCGCTGGCATGGTTTTGCTCCGCTTTCGGCGCCCACCCAGCACAGTGCCGTGGTGCAGCGCCGGCCGGCCACGGAGGTTTCGGCGCTGCGCCGCCCACCGAGCTCAAAAGATTGATTTCTCCTCTTCGGATCAGAGCACAGCCGCGCCCTCTGAGGCCCACTCCCGTCCATTTCATCCTAGGCCGCGCCGCTTGGTTCGCGTCTGCGGCGCCGCGGCCCTCCCTCAGACGCTTCCGGCGCGGCAGAATGCTTAAGGAGGCGCAACGACGACGATCCGTGGCGCGGGGCGCCATTATTTCGGGCCGGCGGAGAGAAATCGGCGTACCCCAGCTGCGAACGAGCCAGCCGCCGCCGGCCGGCCCCTCGGGAGCAGGCGAGAGTGGGGTGGGGTGAGGGGGTCACCTCCGCTGCGGTCAGGTCACACCCGTTCGGCTCGCTCAGGAGCAGCCGCCGCCCGCCGGTCCCCCGGGAGCAGGCGAGAGTGGGGTGGGGTGAGGGGGTCACCTCCGCTGCGGTCAGGTCACACCCGTTCGGCTCGCTCAGGAGCAGCCGCCGCCGGCCGGTCCCCCGGGAGCAGGCGAGAGTGGGGTGGGGTGAGGGGGTCACCTCCGCTGCGGTCAGGTCACACTCGTTCGGCTCGCTCAGGAGCAGCCGCCGCCGGCCGGTCCCCCCGGAGCAGGCGAGAGTGGGGTGGGATGAGGGGTCACCTCCGCTGCGGTCGGGTCACACTCGTTCGGCTCGTCCAGGAGTAGCCGCCGCCGGTCGGATATCGAGGAGAACCGTACCACGTCGCGAAACAGGAGTGAGGGGAGACACCGGGATAGCGGCGATGCGACACCTCCGAAGTACCGCATGGGCTGGGTGGCTGGTGTGTTGCAAAGGCACGGCGCAGCGTTGAGGCCCTTTGATGATGGAAGGCCGGGTACTTAACGCGATTGTGTGCTCCACGTCGGCGGCTTAAACAAAGCCATTGGCCAAGGAGAAAATCGTGACTAAAGATGAACACGCCTGGGTGGGCGAGCACTTTTGAATGAGAGCACGGGTGTACGTGTCAATGTATGCCTTCTTGCCAAGGCACCAGTGATATGCGATTGCTTGAAAAACGGGTGCATGTGGCTTAGCTACGGTTGACCAGGAGAGGAACAGGAGTATTTCGCCGAGCCCATTATACACTGCTGAGACAGTTTGCTTAGAAACAGTTCCGAAAACCGCTGAGTGCTGTGCTAGCACCATTTAGAATATGTGTTTGCGCCAGGTATAGGTCGAGGTAGATTTGATAGGACAGCCGGGTTGGTGAGGCTCGACGTAACATTTGAGGTATATTCGCCAGTAGACAAGTAGTAGTAAACACCAACGTACTCGCTCTACCACAGCATTTACTACTGACTTCAAACTTACAGGGCTACACTCGGCAATATTTCCTAAGATCGTTCATTTACTGTTGTGCTTTAGTACATCAATTTGTTAAGCCTTCAACATTTTACTTTACTTGTTGACCACTTGATCAAATTGCACCAAATGCATTTTCTTGTAAAGAGAATAGGTTTGGCTGTCAGACATGCTCATATGACTGCATTATTTTCTAAGGAACATGTCACTTTCCACGCACTTGCGCCGTATCAGACCATGGCATGCCGTATGTCCCAACCAACGGGCCCCGTTGTGTAGCGCGCGTCCTCGGACGCTGGTACGTCCATGCTGGAGTGTGTAGCTCCGCAAGAGCGCCTGCAGGGATGGTGTGATGACGCTCGTCATGCCCGGGCTGTTGCAGTTATCTGCGCTCAGGGCCTGATCGCCAAGGACAAGGGCGGCACCTCGGACCCGTACGTCACGGTGCAGGTGGGCAAGGTCAAGAAGCGCACCCGAACCGTGCCGCAGGAGCTCAACCCCAACTGGAACGAGAAGTTCTACTTGTGAGTGTGCCCGGCGCGCTGTGCTGGGCGTGGCGTGCGGCGGCGCTGGGCTGGCTTGGGCCAGTCGGATGTGGCGGCCTTTTACCCGACTTCCGCCATGATGCGTGTGAATGGGACGGGCTTATTGCGATACGGATAACGTTATTGGTGATGATGGGAGCGCGGCTGTATGATGGGTAGCGGGAATATAGTGTTCTCGCTGTCCTCACAGACAGCTGGGAGCGTACTATTATCGAGTGATGGATAAGTTTGGTAGCCTTATTTAAAAATTATAACTCGATCTCTAACCTGTGGATAACTTTACTCAGTGACACACCAAGACAAAATGCATATCATGAATCCTGCAGATGCCACACCATGAAAACATGCAGCCTTAGACAATGTTTTAAAACATGCAATGACTTCCATATAGCTGACTATATCCGTCACGTCATGACATACGGCATGGTAGCAGAATATTATTTTGCATGCATATCCATATATTTGAGCAACAAGGTAAGGGACTGGACTGGAATATACTGGTGTGGCGAGGATATGAATGAGGGAAGTCATAAGTATTATCACAACCAACCAAAGCAAACACGCCGGAACGTCACAACAACAACAACGGAAAAACATTTTGTCGACCTTTGCACGGTCCAAAAAACGTATATTTTGTGCATACATATATATATATATATATACGTTATATTATGTGTGTATATATATATACGTATCTATTCCCTAACAAAATGCTCGTATTGAAGATTTCGCTGCTGACCGATGCAAAAGTCAATTTATTTAAAACGAAGGAGCTCTCTGGCACCTTTGGAGGTGCCAGAGGTGCCTTGTCCTAAGAGGCACTCCAAACACTACTAAAAGGGCAATGAAAAGCTTGCGATAAATGGCTGACACGGGGATTAACGACAGCGTCGGTTGGATGTTTTCATATTACTCTGTGGAGGCCGACTGTTCACATTTTGTTTCACAACTTTGGTTTGAAGTTTTTGAGCGGATGAATTACCGCGCTCCCGGCTTACGCTGAGCAGTGTTTATTGTGTGAGCCCTGGCACCACCATCCAATCGTGCAAACCCGGTTAAACGGCGAAATTTTGTTTCGAAAGCTTAATGTGCCGTAATGCCCAGCAAGGTCCGCCCAGCCTTTTGACCTCATCTGACCTTGAGTGGCCGCTACCACCGGCTGCGGGCCATTCCAGTCACAGGCATATAGTAAGTGCTAAAGCTGCTCGAATCTAGCCACTTGTCTCGCGTGGGATGACAGACATTCGCTCAATTAATCAAGCGGTCCGCAATACTGCACCACACACTTACAGCAGCAGAAACCACTAAGCGTCGGTGCTGAAAAATTGCTACCGACCAATAGCAAATGTAGGCTAACGTCGTGGCTGGCCGACCCTTGAGTATCGGCAAAAGCTTAGTTATCGTGGTTGGCCGACCCTTGAGTATCGGCTAAAGCTTAGTTATCGTGGTTGGTCGACCAAAGAGTATCGGCTAAAGCTTAGTTATCGTGGTTGGCCGACCCTTGAGTATCGGCAAAAGCTCAGTTATCGTGGTTGGCCGACCCTATAGTATCGGCAAAAACTGAGTGTAGGATTGTAGATGTCCGCTTCAGCAGATTAAAGTATTGACATGTGCCTGGTGAGCCATAGATGGTGAGCAATATTTACATCCGACTCACGAGTTTGGCTTCAGATTTTGCGTGCGCGCAAAATATGTAAGGTGAAAATTGCTACCGGTTCGAGCTATTTTTCAGGATATTTCGATCGTATAGTTGGAAGCATTGTTTGAGAAGCTCTGTTGTACTGCATCAAGAACTTTGCATAAGATCATGCACGCACTCAACGCACAGTTGCAGCAAGGTATGAGGACTTAATGATAAATAACAGAGCTGGTAATGTGGTGTCCGTGTAATATACGTGGTATCTCTTGGTACACCGAATGAACCCCCATCAAAAGTGCAAATAACAACCGCCTTCACCAGCGTGCGACGCGTGGCGCAAACAGCTAATCGGCTTAGAGCTCTTCTCAGCGGGTTGGTAAACGACGCAACATCCAGATAAGGACGAACGTGTTCTTTCCTGAGGCTTTGCTCAATATATTTACACCTTAATGGTTCAAAAAGACGCTTATGTGCCCGTGTGACACACTATGCATGATTTTCAAAACAGGAAAAGCTCTTTGCAAGTTGTTGGTAAGCGCAAGCATTAGAAAGTGATCTGAAAGGTCATTGTCGATGCAAATAGGTCGAATGTTTATATAGACGGCGCTGTGCCCGACGGGCTGTTTACAGTTGGTCCCATACTCCACAAATTCCAACGTAAGGCACTACCCATGGTCCGTCCAGAAATGTTTCGAATTGCCTTACTTGCCACTTTTCCACGCCTCGGGCAGTGCTGGGATGTCCCATCCACCGATGATCAGCAACCTCACATGCAAAACGCATCTACACTGCCTTGAAGCCATACGTTGAAGCAAAGAGCGCATCGCATTCGCTCCGCCCTCGTAACAATTCCAGTCGGATTTAATGTGTGTTGGAACAGCCCGCATCCGCGCGGCCCACCAGCGAACAGCCACCGCCAGCGTGGTCGAGATCACCGCCGTGAAGCGCTTTCCATTTCCAGGCAACGCTCTCGGGGGCGTTGCCGGGGCGCCGTCCATCAGAAGTGCGCTGTGCTGCGCGGGCGGGCGGCGACGCGCGCGCTCGTATCAGCATGCCGGCGGGGCGCGGCCGCTGAGCCGTGCCTCATTGGTCGTCGTCGGCCGCGCAAAGTTGCGCCGGGCCTGTCTGTGCGCCGCGCCGCCGACCAGCCGACGTAGAGGTCGAGGTCGGCTCGCCAGCTGGCCTCTGACAGCTCGACGCCAGCTCCGTATCTGGTGCCAGGCACATGGTGGTGGCGGGTAGACGACATGGGGCCGGTTCGGGGTCGGGCCACGTGAACGATTTTTGAACCAACGGCGCAGTGCCGCCGGCGCCCTCAGGTTCACCTGGACCACCTCGGTTCAAATGGACTATATGCATTGGCACAAGTGGATTGCCACCTGTCAAAGCATGATAAACACAAGACCAGTTAATGTCGGCCTTTCTCGTTAAGGGTTATGGCACTTTTTGCATCGACCCTGGCCGAAAAGGAGCTGGTTTTCTCGCGTACATGGTGCGAATTGAGCTGACTGCTAAACGAATTCAGTTGAATAGCCCTGCGCCGAGAACGTTTCATGGTGTCATGTTTGACCCCTAAGTTTGACTAGTGAAGGGATGGACCAGATTTCAACCCTGGTTGATCTTCGCTTTCGAACATAAAGGAGACAAATTACTGTTTTCGAAGCTAAGAACGGTACTCTCGACCGAGTGGGGCACCGCTGTGCTTAAGATGAGCTAAGCACAAAGAAGTGGCCTTGGGCCGATTTCAAGTCAAACAAGGCTATCGAGAGCCATTATCCTGTTTGACTTTGATAAATTACCAATCCAAAATGGCATGCATGCTTGATGATGAATACTCTCCATAAACTGTGGGCCTTAAGTAATTTCAATTCATTGCCAAAAACATGACGGATGTTTCTCTTGTAAGTTCTTGTGTAAATTTTCGAATATGATGTCATAACTACGTAACCTGACAAAACCT